AGTGGATTCCGGTGCTTCTCACCATATGACTAGTAATACATCTCTCCTATCACATCTTCATAAGAATTTTGTGAAGAAAATAGTAACCTTGGCTGATGGAAATTCAATAGAAGTTCAAGGAATTGGGATGGCAATGATTTCTACAGGATTTACGTTACAAGATGTTCTATTTGTTTCCCAAGTTATCTTGCAATTTGATTTTTGTTAGTCAACTAACAAGAGACTCACAATGTGTTGCCATCTTTAACTTAAATGGTTGCTCTTTTCAAGATTTGGTTTCAGAGTGGAAGATTGGCAATGCTAGGAGGATGGGTGACCTTTACCAAATCATTGCAAAAAATTGGACGCCTCAAGTTCTAATGAGTCTTGCAAGAAATGACAAGGATGTGATGTTATGGCACTATCGATTAGGTCATCCAAATTTTGATTACATAAAAATAATGTACCCCAACTTATTCAATAAAAGATCGATTTTTCCTACCTGTGAGTGGTGTCAAATATCTAAACATGTTAAATCCACCTATCCTCCAAAGGCATATCAACCTTCTCAACCATTTTCTTTAATCCATAGTGATATATGGGGGCTGCCAATGTGAAAAATGTCAATAGAGCTCTGGTTTGTAACTTTTATTGATGATCACACTCGCCTTACATGGATTTACCTGCTGCACTCTAAATCATAAGTATCTGAATCATTCCAAGCCTTTCACTCCATGGTCTTCGGTCAGATAATGCAAAAGATTATTTTAATTCCAACCTCTCATCCTACCTTACCAAACATGGCATAATTCACCAAAGCTCCTATGTCTATACTCCTCAAAAAATGGTATTGCCGAAAGAAAAAACCACCACCTTTTAGAAGTTGGGCGTACCGTTCTCTTCACCTCCAATACTCCAAAACATTTTTGGGGTGAAACCATTCTTACCGTTGCCTACCTCATTAACCAGATGCCTTCCCGGATATTAAATTTCAAGTCTCCAATCCAACAAATCATTCTCATTTACCCTCATTTTCCAATAAATTCTCTCCCTCCTAAGGTCTTTGATTGCACTGTCTTTGTCCATAATACCCATGGTGGTAAACTTGAACCTCAGGCCATTAAGTGCATTTTCATAGGCAATATTCCCCTACCCAAAAAGGATACGAGTCTTATGCTCCTCTTACCAAGAAAACCTATGTCAGCGTGGATGTTACGTTTCTTGAAGACCAATTCTATTATCACCAATTGCCCGTTCAAGGGGAGAGTGATCCAAGACAACCAAATAAATGTCCAATTGTTTCTCCCATAGAAGACCAAGGCACCCTAAACTCCTTCATACCTGAGCCAATCTTCCCAGCTACCCTACGTGAAGTCAACCCCATTATGCCACCTGAGACTGACATTCTTATCACTCATGACCAAGAAGAGCCAAGAACCATTGATGCAACTAGAGAAGAAGTCTATGAAGAGCAAGCAATCAATCAGCCAGACAACCCTCTTCCTAGACAAAGCCAATATGAGTCTCCTACACCAAATCTTGAAGATAACTTGCATTGGCCTATTGTTATCCGAAAAGGGGTAAGAACTTGCACTAGACATCCCATTAATAACTATGTTTAATATAAAAAATTGTCTTCTCAAATGCAAGCCTTTGTGATCAATGTTGCTCTTCAGGCAATTCCAAAAACTTCCAAGAAGCCATCAAATGTTCTGAATGGAGGAATGCAATTAAGAAAGAGTTGATAGCCTTCAACAAGAACAATACTTAGGACTTGGTTGACCTACCAGTTGGAAAGTCAATTGTTGGTTATAAGTGGATATTTACTGTAAAATATAACTCTGATGGTAGTGTTAACAGGCATAAAGCCAGGTTGGTTGCTAAGGGTTTCACACAAACTCATAGCATTGACTATCAAGAAACCTTTGCTCTTGTAGCAAAATTCAACACCATTAAAGTTCTCTTGTCAATCGTTGTGAATTCAAATTGGCCTCTATACTAGATGGATGTAAAAAATGTTTTTTTAAATGGAGATCTAGAGGAGGAGGTCTACATAGAAGTTCCTCAAGGAGTTAATACAAAAGGAAATCCGAACAAAGTGTATAAACTCCGCAAGTCATTATATGGCCTAAAACAATCCCAAGGGCATGGTTTGAGAAGTTTACCACAGTTATAAAGGGCCAAGGGTACTATCAATGCCAAACTGATCACACTCTCTTCATTAAGTCTGGCCCAAATGACCCGGTAACCATCTTGATTGTGTATGTTGATGATATAGTTATCACAGGTAATCATCATGAGGAAATAGAAAGGCTGAAATTATCCCTTGCAAAGAAGTTTGAGGTTAAAGATCTCGGCCAACTCAAGTATTTCTTGGGTATAGAAGTTGCAAGGAAGCAAGATGGCATCTCAGTAACTCAAAGAAAGTATACTCTTGACCTTCTAGAAGAGACAGGTATGTTGGGGTGTGAATTTGCTAAAACACCTATGGAAGCCAATTATAAGATGAGACTGGTTCAAGAAAGTCCCCTAGTAGATATCAGTAGGTACCAAAGATTAGTCGGAAAGCTCATCTATCTAACCCATACTCGGCCCGACATTTGCTTCCCTATTAGTGTGGTTAGTCAGTTCATGAACAAACCAACAGAAGAGCACTTGGAAGCTATGTACAGAATTCAGAGGTACTTGAAAAAAAGTCGGGAAAGGGTCTATACTTCTCCAAAAATTGCAATAGAAATGTTGAGGTTTATTCCGATGCAGATTGGGTTGGATCAGTGATTGATAAAAGGTCCACCACCGGCTATTGCACCTTTGTATGGGGAAACTTGATAACATGAAGGAGCAAGAAGCAACTTGTTGTTGCAAGGAGCAGTGCCGAAGCTAAATTTAGAGCTCTTGCACTAGGAATTTGTGAAGGAATGTGGATATTAAGATTACTGAAGCAATTAAAACTGTCACAACTTACCTATGCAAATCTTCTGTGACAACATGGCAACTATTGGTATAGTAAAAAATCTAATTCATCATGATAGGACTAAGAATGTGGAGATTCATATACATTTTATCAAGGAAAAAATAGAAACAAAAATTATTGCCTTACATCATGTGTCCTCCAATTCTCAAGTGGCTGATGTCCTAACCAAAGCAAGCGCTGCCAAGAGTCAAGTTTGAGGAGCTAAGTAGCAAGCTGGGCATGATCAACATATACAGCCCAACTTGAGAGGGAGTGTTGATACTCAGCTCTATTAAAGTCAACATAATCAACCTAGTTGTTTGCCACTTTCTTGTGCACTTCTCTAGGAAGCTATGTTCAAGCTAGCTGTCAGATTTTGCATTTATTATTGTGTTAGTTGTTAGTTGGCAAGTTAGTTGTTAGTAGCATTAACTTTGTTAGTTTAGTTGGCAGATTAGGTGTTATAGTATTTAACGCTCATCTTGTATAAATATTCTGATGTAGGGCTGAATATGTGCAATGAAAAAATACAGCCTTTGTGTGTGCTATCTCCCTCTTTTTTTCCTAAGTTCTTGTTCTAAGATTTCTTCATGGAGTGGGAGATCGATAGGGGATTATCTTGTTAGCTGAGAAATCTATTTCAAGTATAAGAATGAAGGACTATGTAGTTAGAATTTGGTTTCCAAAAATATTGCTCTAGCAGCTAAAGGGTTATAAAGATTTGCTTTGGAGTGTACTACATGGCATCAAATTATTCAGACAAACTAAGCTTAAAATCAGAATAGGTGGAACACAAGCCCAACAATCAAATGCTACTCAGTCCTCATGATTGTCCTAGTATTGTAAGTTTATCTCAGTGACGCCTTCAGAATTCAGACAACTACTATCTCTAGATTTAGCCTTTAGCTCCATTGTTCTTGCATCAGGTTCTGGGTAGATGTTTCAGCGAATCCTTTCTAGAAGAAACATGTAACCTTTACAATTGATCCATTTAGCATATTATGCCTATTGAAAGCTTCCTTTCATCTCAATGCTCTCAATTGTCTTGAGATTTTTACTTCCATGGGTCTTGAATGATAGGGAAGCTAGTTAGAGTCCCTTCTGGCTTTGCTAGATTCTATTCAGTCTTCTGCCACTTCAGAAAAAAAAGAAAGTTCAGAATTCAGATTCTTCTGGATTGAATATTTCATTGTAAATCCTTCTTCCATTTTCTTACTCATTCTCTGAATCATCAGAGATTCCCAATTATAAAAGCTGATTTGGAGGTCCAAAGCTCTTTCTAAAATAAAGTCTTTTTTCTGGACAGCGGTAATTAACCGGATCAATACAAATGACTTTTTCCAAGTACTTAGGGCTCACTTAGCTCTAGCATCTGATGTGTCTTGTACACAGTTCTAGTTCAGATTCAATAGGTAACTTGCACTGCTAAGCATCCATTTTTACATGGAACAACTTATTTGGAGATATTGGAGAGACTGGTCCTCGCCTTTACTCTGGAACAGTTCCTGCTGGTCAAGGACTCAAGGTTTTGTCAATAATGAAGTATAAATTTTGTGATATTATGCAGTTTGTGCAGTTCTTTGGTGTATTTGTTGGAGAAGAATGATTGCATTTTTAAGGGGGTCTCACTGCCTCTCAACTTATCATGTGATAGGATCATCTTTGTGGCATGGCATGGCATCCCTTTGGTACTAGGCCAATGGTTTTTTTTAACTTTGTGGTTCTTAGTTTTCCCTGTTCTGGAGTATTGCTTATCATCCTACAGTTGGCTTCCTCTTCTTTCTATCTTAACCCTTGAAATTGATACATGGTCAATATTGAAGGAATTCTAGAAAAATTTTGGAGCTCATGTTCTTTAAGTAGTTATGGTGATTAAATACGATAGACATTAGAGCTTTAAAATAGATGCAGTTTTAACCTCTTAAGTCTTAACCCCTTGGTTTGTTTTAAGAAACTTTATTGGCATCAACTACGTAAATCAATTAGAAAAAAAATACACCAAATTTTGCAGTAAATAAAAATAAATAAATTTAAATAAGAGCTCAATAGAAAATAACCAAAATCATTATCAAGCGATGAAGTTTTGGATACCACTTTCATGGTCTTTCTTAGAAGCAGCAGCCATGCACAAGGCAGTGCCAATTGGGCTTGGTATGTCAATTGCTTCAGCAATCTCATCAGAAGTTGCAACTTCTACCCATCTCTTTACAACAGCAACATTCCATGTTGCCACACACAAGTGCAGTGGTCTGCAACAATAACATATCAATTCAACACCCATGCAATTAATAACAACAATAATCAACCCTTATCCCACCATGAGGGATCCAATTGTACAGAAAATGACACATTAAAGGAATTTTGTTTATAGTATTGTTACTATAAAAAGTATCCTAGATTTTATAATGTAAAATTCCAAGAAATATGATAAGAAATAAAGCAATGTGATACTCAGATTCTGAGCATGGTTAAAATAGCATATTAAGTGAGATTGATCCTTTGTGAGAACAATAGTACAAGATCCAGTGGTATTTTAGTTATATACATGATTTCTTAGTACAACTTGCAATCAACTTCCTAGTAACAATTCTAAGGATTAAGGAAAGCACCATGATGATGGGATTATAAGAACAAACTTCACTAATGTAATACATTGATAGTCAGCTTCAATCATTCATTGAACTAAAGAAGCAGATTAAATATAATATGAACATACAGAAATATTTCATCATCCTGTTCCCATCCCTAAATTTTTTCAATTATACAAGTGGCTGAGAAATACTCTCTCTGTTTCAGATACTTGTTGTTTAACGTTTTACAGAGATTAAGAAAATCATTAAATATTCTCAATTTTTAAGGAAATATAAGTTCATTTTGACAATATTACCCTCTTTACTCATTAATGCACTCTCATTCCACTTAGTAGAAATACCAAAGATAAGGGTAAAGTTGGAAAAGAGTAATTATTGCCTTCTTGGTTTTCTAATTGACAAATAAACAAAATATTAAAAAAATGACAATTATTTGAAAATGGAGGGAGTAATATAAGTTCATAGCAACTCATCCAACTAAGCTGCATCTCTCAACATGAAGGTGCTACGTCATGCCAAGGAGCAAGGTAGTCAAAATCAAGATCTTACTTTGGATCTGAAGAGAGGAGATGACACGTAGATTGCGTAATAGTAGAACGGATCACAAGATCTTACTTAAAATATAAAATTATATTTAAATATATTAATTAAAAAAACTGAAACTCATGTCTAAAGGTCCATCTCATATAGTTGTTTTCTTATGGCCGACTCATTATGCCCAACAGCAGCCCTACTTTCACCCTGGCTTGGACAGACTATGTAGGCATACATAAATAGATGTAAAATAATAATAATAACAATGTAAGTAAACAAAATGATCTTAAAATCACAACTAATATTTATTAAACTCCAATTAAAAATACAGAAAAAGCTATAGTTTATAATATAATTCACAATTCAAATTAAAGTTATAATTTATAATATAAAAAACATAAAAAGTTTTTTACAACACAAAAAACTAAAATGACAACAAAAGCACCAACAAAACAAAGGTAAAACTTTAAGTGAAATATTGTAATTGTTTGGTATATTGGACCTTGTCCCAGATATGTTATTGAAAGAAAAAATCAATTCATAGGAGCTTCTACAGAGCACACCCAGTCAAGACAAAAACGACTCAGGACAGCAGCTTGATGAAGAACCATACAACACCACCAGGTCGTAGCACCAGTCAGAGTTGCAGCACCACCAACGTGGTGGGATAGCAACTAAGATCAGCAAACAAAACAGCAGCCAAAGTTTCAATCAGAAGCAACAAAGATCAAACAAAACAGCAACAGCGGGCAGTGGCAGCAACAGCGGGCAGTGGCAGCAACACGAATGGATCGTAGGGTTTCAGTACAGAATAGGAACAAAAACGAAATGGGGGTTAAAAACTGGGTAAGGCTTGGGTTCTTAAGTTCGGTGGGCGGGTGTTAGAAAAATGGATTTTTTCAGGACTGGTGGGATCATCCCATTCCTATGATTCCACGATCATGCACGGCATCCCATCCGATCCTACCAGAATGCAATCTAGGGTAAGCATGGGATTGTGGGGGGACACAAAATTCATGTGACGTTCCAATCTTATGAGCATAAACACGATTTTAACTGCCCTGCTAAGGAGTGAAAAGTTATGCAGTGAACCAGAAGACAGCTATAAATGTGGAACTTAATGTTCATGCCAAAAGACAATTCCAGCAAATCCTTTCTTCATTTGTATAAATAGAAGTTGTTAATGTGTTCCCAATAGTTAATTAAGATCAGTTATTGTACCTCTATACTGCTTGACACACTTGGCATGCAAATTCTAATAAATTTTTTGAATTGAAGTCTATACTCACGTCAGATTCTTTGAATTCAAGATGGCCATTGATCTACAGCCTCCATTCTCCAATATCACAAGAGCACAGTCTGTGTACTTCTTGGCAACTGCCCTATGCAGTACAGATTCACCTTCGTCATCCACTGCGTTAGGATCAGCTCCAGCTAATAGTAATTCCTGTTATTTGTCCACATAAATTTTAGATAAATATAGCTCTAACAAAGAAGAAGAAACATCATATTATAATAAGTAAAACTTACTCGCATACAATCTGGTTGGCCGTGATAGGCACAAACGTGAGCTACTGATGGGCCAACGCCATCTCTTAATCTTGACCTCACATTAGCATTTCTTCTGATAAGGCTACGAACACATTCTGGGGATCCAGCTGCTAATGCAAAAACAAGAGGAGGATCTCCATCTTTGTCTAAAACATCAACATTTGCTTCTCCATACTCCAGAATTGTCTCAACAAGTTCTGCACTACCGCGTCTACAAGCTAAGTGGAGAGCCGTTTGCCCATCAGCATTTTGAGCTTCCAATAGAGAAGATATGTAGCTGCTGCCATTTTCTGATGCAGTGGCCTTTGCAAGAAGATCTCTGTACAAGAAATACAAAGAAAATGAATGAAATAACAAAATTTAAATAAAAGCAAACTCAAGCAAGATGAGTTGTGACACCAACTTACCTAACACCTGTGGCATCCCCTTCAGACACAAGTCGATGAAGATGGTTTGGGTTTTCCTGAAGAACTTCTAATTCAGGTACTGGAGAAGGCTCCGTCACATTTGACACAGAGCCCTTAAAAAAGTCACTGTATCCACAAAAATATGTAATATTGTAAATCATAATTGTTAGAATCTTATGATTCAATAGAATCAATACTATTTGGCAGGCCATCAATTTGCATTATGAATCAGAGATGGCTTTGAATCATGCGATATATGCACGAATATATATGATTTTGCATCACTTCAATGATAGAAATCGCACAATTGAATGATTCATTAATTTTTTTTTTCTTTTTTAACTTTTCTTTCACCAATTCTCATTCCTCAACCCTATTTGATTATTTCGTTGTCCTGTTTTCATTCTTCTAAAATAGAGGATTAGACAGTCACTCACTCCCTCTCTGCATCCTATTTGGCTATTCTGTTACTCTTTTTCATTATTTTGAAATAGAGGCTTCACATAGTCACTTACTCTACATATGTACCTCATTTGATTATATCATTGCTCTATTTTCATTCTTATGAAACATAGGCTTCACTAACTCAATTATGACTTAAGACTTAAAATTTTGTTTTGTGAGGTATGGTCAAGTTATTTATCAATTCCTAGTTTAAAATTATTAGATTTGAGCATTATACATCATCATACATTAATTCCTAGTTTTTTCATTGTTTCTTTCAATCTATTCCATACAATTCACAATTCAAAAATCAACTTGGCAATTCACAATTTGTGATGCAATTTGATAACCTTGTCGTGAAAGACAATTGCTATTTGATGAACATCAATGACAACTGCGCATTTGGCTCATTCCCAATCAAGGTCATATTTCCATACTAAAAACCATAAATAGCCTTAACTGCTCCATCAGATGCTGTAAAACCAACATAGAAGATGCACTCATAGTTATAATAACCTAATAGACTTACTTATCAGGGCTTGCCGGAGGGCTGCGGGGTATTTCCTGCAAATGACGGAGAAAAATTGCTAGCATTGCATTAAAAGTAGGCCTTTTAGATGGCTTGAATTGCAAGCACTCTCCAATCATCTTCCACAATTCCCTCGGAATTCCACCACCAACCACACTAGCATACTGCGGAGGAAGTTTTTTTGCCTTGACAACTGATCGATAGATTTCCTCTGCACTTAAACCTGCCCAACTGCACAAGCACAGATTCTGCACTAAGAAAATTGAAAAAGAAGAGGGACATAAAGAAGAAAGTTTGAGTAAAGATAAGTTGCTCCACGTACGGAATGGCACCCGTGCACATCTCCACCAATGTACAACCAAAACTCCAGGCATCTGATTCGGAAGATATACCTATTCCATCATCCCAGAACAAATTCAATGACTTCTTCACAGGTTCCCAAGCTTCAGGTGCGGTGTAATGTGGGCTCAGCATAATACATTCCATACAGGAATGGATCTTTGAGGAGTCACACTCTGGTTGAGCCTTCCGACAGGAAGGCTTCTTCAGAAGTGTAGCAAGTCCATAATCAGAAACCACAGCATGACCATTTGCATCAAGAAGAAGATTGGATGGTTTTAAATTCATGCAAACAACACCTGCAGCATGAAGCTCAACAACTCCTCGTGCAATGTCTGACCCATATCTACATTTGGCAAATTTTAATGTTACTATTCATAGCTGTCATGGACAATTGAAAGGCAATATGGGATAACTCAAATTCCACAAAAATGATTACTAAGCTGCCCATATTACACAAATAAGAATAATCAAATCAAAAGACAAAATTATTCTGACAAAATCTTTTCTAATTCTGTTTTATGGTTTGCTTTTGCATAACCAACACATAAGTGCTAAGGTAGGAGTAAAATGATAAATTTTACACATTAAATAACGATTCTGATTTAGCTCAGCCAAGATAATCACCCAGATTGAGTTTCCCTCAAAACATTAACTAGTCATTGAATGGAAGAGATATAATAACTTTACATTTTCACCAAATCTTAACCAGAATGCAGCACATGCCACTTATACCAATGAATTTGCTCTAATACTCATCATGTTTTCAAATTACAGACCACACCACTTGATAGACGGTGGCCTTAATACTGAGATTTCAACAACATCTGCAACCACATCATTATTTTACAATAGCAGGGTCAATTCCATTCACAAAAGAGGTGTTGCATTCCCAAAGCGCGCAACGCAACGCGCGTAGCAGTAACACAGCGTAACACAGCGGCAACCGCGTCTGAATCCGCAATTTAAAACCATGATCACTCATCAAACACAATCAAACATAACAACCACGAAGCTTCTTTTGGACTACTCACTCACTACCAAGTCAAATTAATTCCTTGAAACAAGACTAGTCAATAAAACCAAGTGAACAAAAAAATGCTAAATCCGAATAGACAAGTACAAAACAAAAAGAACTCCAAAACCTTAGGACTTGCTCCAAAGTGAGCCTCCCCTCATTGCGCTGCATCTCAGACTGAACCGATCCATAACACCTGTCCATCACAAGGCACAAACTCTCTTCCATCTTCATTGCTCCATGAAAAGTGCACACATTCCTACACCACATCGAAGCCTTGCGCAAATCCTCAAGCTTCCCCTGCACCCAATCCAAATCCATCCCCTCCGTTATCGCCACCTTCTTAACCGCCACATGGTGCCGACACCTCCCACCGCCGCTGCTTCCAATCACCGCCGTCCACATCTCCACGCCAGCTCTCCTCCCTTCCCCAATCCGCCTCACCAGCTTCAAATCCTGATGCGCCCCAACATCGATCACCGGCTCGCACCCACCGGAGCTCGAAGTCTGCGACCCACGGATGAACCTGCGCCGCTTCTCCTCATCCTCCTCATCACCATCGCCATCACCATCACCGTCACCATCTTCCTCATCATCAGTGTAGTCACAGTCAAAATTCGACCCTCCGCCAGCGGCAGCTGATGTGTTCGCGGCGGCGGAGTGGATGAGCGCGAGAACGGCGAAGTTCTTGCGCAGCGCTTGAACGGAGTTGCCGACGGTGGACACGTGGCGGCAGCGCGGACACGTGAGCGTAGCATCAGGAGAAGCCGAGAACATTCTAGAAAGACACTCTTTGCAGAAACCGTGGCCGCATTGAAGCAGAAGCGGTACTCGCTCCTCTTCGTTGTACCGCGTTTGACAAACCGAACAACAAGGGATTTTCATTTTCTTTTTCTTTTTTTCTTTTTTTTTTTTTTGTTCCTATCTTTATTCTTTCTAATTTTCTCTCTCTCTTTCTCTTTCTCTTTGTCTATAAGGAATCTCTCAAGTTCAGCAACTATATACCTAAAGCAGAAACCAGTGGCTAGCTAAGAACCAGAACTGGTTTGATCCGAATTTGAGCTGAAAGGATCTTATTTATAGCGAATTGGAGGTGATGAGGTGTGTGAATGGCAGATCCATGAGCAGCGATCAATTAATGAAGGAAATCTAGAGAGAGAAAGGGTTTTAGAGAGAGAGAGAGAGAAGCTGAAGAAGGAAAATGAAGTAGCGATTGGTAAGAGAGAGGGTTTTTTTGGTATTTAGATGTAGTTGCTTTCCCTTTCATTGCAGTTTTCTGTTTCCATTTGTAAGAATGGGTTTGGTGTTAAGGTGGCTTGGACTTTGAAGTTCCCAAAAACACTTCGCTTGATAGAAAATGGAATAATTTTATGGATTTTTTGGGTTAAGGCTTCTTAGTTTTATTCTATCATATGTGTGTTCTTTCTCTCTCTATATCTCTCTAGATTTTCTTTTTACTATTTTTTTTTTATGTCATGAGCAATATGTGAAAAGGCTTTAGAGATTCATGGGGTTCTGTGCTTGCCAAATTTGGGGTTGTTCCTATATCTATAAGGACATATCAGCCTTCTTTTCTTTTTCTGCTTTAGCTATGTGTGAAAGTTCTTTCTAATTCCATTCCTTTTGAAAAATAATGCTACTTTATTTAATGAAGAAAATGGAAAAATATAAAAGTGAAGGTATGCTTGTACGAAGGTACGTGACTTTTGATTGAAATAAATAACCGTGGGAGGAGTATCTCTTCTTCCTCTAAATATAGGATAATTTATGGAGAGATTTATTCTCATTAAGAAAACTCTCAGCTTAATGCTTCTAACAGGGGGTGGTAGTTAAGCAAAGTCGACAATGATAAAATTTGGATTCCTGGCATTGTAGCTAAAGTTAGATCTCTTGAGATATATTGTTAGGTGTTTTGTTTTGTTTTTTTTTTTTTTTTTTTTTTGCATTGAGGTCAAATTTAAATTTGTGTTTGAGAGATAGTTATCTATACACTTACAAAGGATGTATGAATTCTCAATAAGAACAAAGTACGCGTCCTTTTTGAATTGTTCAAATCTCATAAGTGAATAGAAAATCGAATTAAGATTATATCTCATATGAATTGCCTAATCTATTCTTTTAAAGGGGAAGTTTGGTTTCAATGTCCCAAATGATTCACAACTCAGGATCAGGCATTACCGAGAGCCTCTTTGGATTCTTATTTTAAGTTAGAAGCTATTTATAAGCTAAAGCTTAAAAAAAAAAAAGATAAAAGCTGTTTGATAATTACCTAAATTTTTTATCTTATAAATTATTTAAAAGCACATATTTCAAGAAAATTGTCTATATCTCTATAACTCTTTATTTCAAAAAAAAACACAATTCAAGAAAAGTTGATAAGAGCTTAAAAAAAGCTCTTCTGTGCCTGTTTGGATCCTCTTATTTTTAAGCTAAAAACTACTTATAAGCATAAACTAGGTCAAACAGGTTTTGGGAAAAGCTCTTATAACGAAAAACTCTTTTTTTATAATGAAGAAAAAAGTTGAAAGTTAAAAGCTCCTAGAAGGAGCTTTTTTTTAAGCTCTTATCTGCTTTTCTTGAATTGTGTGATTTTTTTTAAAATGAAGAGTTATAAAGATAGAGAGAGATAATTTTCTTGAAATATGTGCTTTTAAGCTAAAATTTTTATGTAATTACCAAACAACTTTTAGCTTTTTTTTAAGCTCTTATTTTTAGCTTTAGTGCATGTTTGGATCCTCTTATTTTTAAGCTAGAAGCTACTTATAAGCATAAGCTAGGCCAAACAGGTTTTGGAAAAAGCTCTTATAACGAAAAGCTCTTTTTTTTATAATGAAGAAAAAGCTGAAAATTAAAAGCTCCTAGGAGGAGCTTTTTTTTAAGCTCTTATCTGTTTTTCTTGAATTGTGTGCTCTTTTTTTTTAATGAAGAGTGATAAAGATAGAAAAAGAGATAATTTTCTTGAAATATGTGCTTTTAAGTAATTTTTAAGCTAAATTTTTTTTGTAATTTCCAAATAGCTTTTAGCTTCTTTTTTTAAGCTCTTTATTTTAGCTTTATTTTATAAGTAGCTTCTAGCTTAAAAATAAGAGGATCCAAACAGGCTCTTAGCTTATAAGTAGTTTCTAGTTTAAAAAAGAGACTCTTAGGAGCTTTTAGCTTTTAGCTTTTTTTCTTCATTATAAAAAAAAATTTATTATAAGAACTTTTCTCAAAACCTATTTGGCCTAACTTCTGTTTATAAGTAGCTTCTAGCTTAAAAGATAGAGAATCCAAACAGACACCGAGTATGTTGAATTATCAATGTGGCTAAGTTTTTACATTAACAACAATTTTGATTGAAAAAACTCAATTCCTATTAAGAATATTGTGGTAGATTTTGTCATGAGAAATATAAATATGTCATGTGATTAAAGACAGATTAAACAATATAACGAAAAAAGTATGGATAATGACTTAATGTCAATCAAATTGGTCATATGATTGAATTATTTGTTAAAATAAGATTAAAAATTGCACGTTAAAACACTTTCCTTAGTAACAAATGAAGCAAAAACAATCACGAAGCATATATCTTTCCCTTTCTCACCCATTTCCATGAAAAGAAAAGATTCTCTTCATAGAGTTTTCAATTGTTACTTATATCTAGATCCTAATAAGACGGTAGAAATTGGTCATAAGCTAATTGAGAAAATCATGATGATTCTAAAATAATGGATAATAATCCTGCGTATTGGTTAGCATGCTCCTAACAATGCCTTTAAAGGGGAAAATCTTATTAGATCAAGGATTGAGACGCTAACAACATCATTGACGACATCAAAATAAGTAAAAAAAAAAAAAAAAAAAACTAATCAAAGCAAGAGACATAGGAAAACAAGGCTAGATATTGAAACCTTCGTAGGAATGATCCTCAATCAACAAGATTTTTGAACATATAACTTTTGATTGGAGTTACTTTTTTTCATGAATCATGTGGTGTCTCCTTATTTTATTATGTAATTCCAAGCACAACAATCCAGGGATTTGACACATTAAAAGACTAAAAAATTGTACAAAAAAATGATAGAACTAAGGGGTATGCCAACAATCTCCTTGGTTGTGAATTATTATTGTAAGAAAGATACTATAGAAGAAGAGGGGATCTATTTTTGTTGAAAATAATTAAGGGCAATGATTTTGTATTGTGCAAGATCATGCTACCTTTGTTCAATTGGATACAATGAAATAACTTGTCATTCTTACTTAACAAAGTGTGATAATATAACACTTCGTAATTTAAAACATGTAATTATAATTTAAATAAGGATTAAAGGATAGGATTAGTGAAAATCCTGAGTTTTGGGTCAAAATACATAAAAAAGGGTAAAACGGTAATTTGACAAGATTGAGTGGTTAGGCAAGTTTCTGAAAATTTGATGAATTGTGTTTTTACCGGATAAAAATACAGTGGTGTAGTTGCATCGAAAAACGTGCCAAGTGAAATTTGAGCTCAAGGTTTGAAAATAAATTGGAAAAGATACATAGAACTAAGAATTGTGATTATTGATGAAATTTGATGAAAATTAGGGTTTTTGAAAAAATGTGTCAACAGTGCACATATCGGATTAAAACTGTGATTTCATCGAATGACCTGAAAACTCCGGATTCGTATGTTCAAACGTAATTAAGGGACTTTGGTGAATGTTAAATTTTTTATTTAATGGATAGTTCATGAATTAATTGGTGATTAATGAGTTTAAGTGAGGTGTCACTTGTGGGGCCCGCTCTCATTTAAGTGACTTATGAGCACATGTGAGAAATCAGATTTTTGGATCATCTTCCTCCTTGCAAATTTTGTGGCCCTCCATTGTTAGTGAAAAAGAAAAACTCAAAAAAATTCAAACAACCATAGCTTGAGTTCTAGGTCACCAAGTTGATTGATTACAAAGCCAAACTTATGTAAAATCTTGAGATGAACACATTAATACCTTTAGTTTCACATGAGGATCATTGTAGAGAGATCATTGGCCAAAATGGTGATGGTTTTGAAGGATTTTTGGGGTCATTGATGGTGGTTTGAGTTGCAATGGTGCTTGAATATCACTCATTAGAGGCTTGTGAGTCCATTTGTGGTAAGCATTCTCAATCCCATTGAGTTTTGTTGATAATTTGAAAATGGATGTGAAATTTGAATATGTATTGGTGAGTTTGGGTAGTTGGAAATCTCAAATTGAATTTGTGCATTAGATAAATGTTGTTTAGAATGATGAATTAGACTGATTGAGCTCATAAAATTTATTGAGGAAAAATAATTTAACTTAGGCAAAATTTGTGTTCATGAACAAGACTTTGTGAATGGAGATTGTGGTGTGATTATATAATTGAGTTGTGGAGTAATTGTATTGGTTAATTATATGTTGTATGGTGTGTTTGAAGTGTGGAATTGGACTGAAGTGTGAGTCCCCAATAGGGACGTTCCATACACAATTTTGAAGATTGAGATGTCAACTACGTTGTGTCAAAATTTGGTAGCCATGGAGTTGTGCACAGACCTGTAGAAGCATTTGAGTGAGGACTGTCCAGAACGCCCTGCACTTGGGGGCTATCGGGTGATAGTTTTGAGAAGTTTATTTCTCCCTCAATTCTTGGTCAAATTAAGCCCATAATATGTCAAATTGAAGCTTAAGGTGTCTAGTTTACTGTATAAAAATTTGAGAGCAATTGGTGGAGTGGTTAGTTCAGATCGCAGAAATTGTGACGTATGTTTGGTGTCCTGTTTGGGGTTGGCTGACAGCTTTGCTTGTCCAACTTCAAACGGCGATAACCGGAGCAAACGAGAACTTTATGGAGCGTTTGATACCTGTTGGAAAGGTAATTAGGTCTAGAATAACATACTAAAAGATGAGAGGTTCGTAGCATATGGATTTCGCACAGTGTTCAAAAGACTGAACCATGTTCAGTTATGTAAAAATCGTAAAAGTGAGAATTATGCTAAGTGGGTTTAGGGTTTATGGGAACTCCTTAGTGACTTAAGATAAGAATATATGATAGTAAGGCAATTATTTTAATTATTCTGCGCTTAGATTTCAGTTATGATCACAACTTTTATCATTACATTTTATTATTGTTTTTAAATGCTTACGTAATGAAAAGGAAAAATGTTTACTCACATTTTTAAATGAACTGCTGTGATTGTAACTGCGCTTAATATCATAAT